TATGAAATTATTAGAAAAGATACAACACAGGAAGAAAATGCAGTATACAACATGGCACAAAATAGGTGTAAAAAGAGTAAAATGACTCTGAAAATAACAGCTCTGAAAATAAAAACTCTAAATTTGTCGTCTATTCCAAACAGAAAGATATAAAGATACAATTTAAAATGCAATGGAAAGCTTGGTGCTTCAGTCAGGTCCCATCAGTGATCTTTTCCTTATTTTAATTGCATGTAGAATACATTTTATAACAGTAATGTATATTAGATAAATTCAATGTGATTTGCCTAATGGGAAACTAGTGCAAACCTATTAAAGCCATGCATTAGGAGAATTTAGTGATCTGTATAAGATTATACATTCCCATTTTAGTCCTCTTATTTTGCTTTCAGTTCATTCTTTTTCCTTTTTTCTTTTTTGTTTCTTCTTTCTTTTTTTTTTTTTTTTCCATCTTTTTCTTCCTAACAGTTTCTTAGTTCTCAGTTTTACATAATGATACAGAAGATAATAGAAAACATGCTGTATGAGCTGGCAGGCTCCTGATCAGCAGCAAAAAGTCCAGCTGGAGGCCAGTCACTAGTGGCCATCAGGGACTGATATCAGTGCCAATACTATTTAAATCTTCATTAATGACCCAGTTGCTGAGATAGCGTGAGCAAGTTTGCAGGCAACGCAAAACTGGGATGACTGCCTGATATACCAGATGGATGTGTTGCTATTCAGAGATCTTGATAGTCTGGAGAAATGGGACCACAGGAGTCCCTTGAAGCTCAACAAAGGAAAATGAAAAGTCCTTCAACTGAGCAGGAATAATCCCAGGCATCATTCTGGGTTGTAGGCTGGAAAGAAGATTTGTGGAGAAGGACTCAGGGTCCAGAAGTGCATCAAGCTGGACATCAACTCATAATATGCCCTTGTGACAAAGAAGGCCAATGGCATCCTGGGCTGCGTTAGGAAGAGCATTGCCAGCAGGCTGAAGGAGATTATCCTTTATCTGTACTCAGCACTGCGTGAGAAATATCTGCAGTACTTAGGTCTGGACTACTTCATGTAACAGAGACATGAACACACTTGGAGTAAGTTCTCTGTTGTTCTCTTGGAACACAGAGGTCTCATAGTCATTAACACATTCAGGCACATTCATAACATTTTGCTGTGTATTCAAGGGCTGCTCACTGGATTTAATAATTTAGATTTAAGATATAATGTATAAAATTCAGAAGATACTTTGAAGACCTTGCTGTAATGATGGCTGCCTTCTTGGACAGATCTATTTGTCGTTCCTCACTGACCAAAAAATATCTAATTCACTCTGAATTCTCTGTTAAGAAAAAGAAAATATAAAAATCTTCAGAAACTAATCTATAATGTGCTCATGGAGAATACATATACATGGGTATATTCAGACATACATAATGACTACAAAGATATAATTTTACATGAACATAAACTTGGACAGTCACTCTTGATCCAAAAATCCAAGCACAGGACAAGACATACAGTCTAGTATGATTTTACTGCACAGGACGCATAGTTATACCGATGGAAATCCACCTAGATATATTCTGAAAGGCTTACCTACGGTATAAATCCTTACAGCCAAAGTGGACATGTGAAAGATTTTAATGAGGAAAATACACATTGGCTGAAAGCAGGAGCAATTTTTAAAGTTATCTAGATCAATTAACAACTTTATACATGGAGATATGTATACATGTATGTTAACGTACAGTGAAAATACCATTTTTTATTGTCACACCTGGAATTAGAGAATCAAGAAATATTGTAATCTGGCTTGTATGCTATCACAATGTGAGTTTCCATTTGGAATGGTCATGTCTTCTGTTTTTCTGTTCTAAACAAACACAGATAAGTACAGGTGAAAGGAGGATATGAAATAATAGAACAGGTACCAAAGTTGTCATACGTTAAAAATGTGATCATTCATTATGTAACTGGTAATATAACCCTTTGTTTTTAATTACTTCCAAAGATTTCTCATGTTCCAGCCTTCTAATGGTTGTAAAGGTTATGTAAGGGAGACAAAAAAGGGAAAAGAATTTTGACTTTCACGGAGTAAGAAAAATGACTCCATAACTCTTGTTTTCTCCTTTACACATACAATGTAACAGTCAGGAATTATTTATTAAAGGTTTTAAGGAGTCTGCTTACATAGTGGATTGCATATCCTCTAATAATTATTGTTTTTTTTTTTCTCAATCTTCGTTGCACAGCACTGCATAGCATTGCACAGCATTGCATAGATTTCCTGAAGGTATTTCATTTGCTGGGGCTGTTAAGTATGCGCAAAACCAGTGAAGTGAAATCCTGACCAATGTGCTGTGACTGACATGTAATTCACCACTTAACCACTGCTGTACATGATGTATTGAAGATGATATGAACATGACCTCATCCTTGGCATTTTTGGGATCAAGTATTAGCCTTTTGCACAGAGTTCTAAAATACTGTAGGGAAAGCTTTTACTGCAAATCATCACAAGTGAAGGCAATAGAACTTATTTCCAGTTATAAATGATCAATTCATGAGATGTTTTAATTAGCTCATTATTCCCTATCAGAACATTTGTCTTTTACTGTGATCCTTGAAAATAGTGCATACAGTGCAGCATATTCTAATGCCATTCTGGCTTTTAGAAAACACTTTGCTCTTAAAAGTACTATAGAATAAACATAAAATTCAGGGAAGGAAAGAAAACCTGATTTATAAAACCTGATTTATTTTTTTTTTTTAACTTGCTATATTTGGCAGAAAAATTCAGCCTTTTGGCTACCAAAATTGAATATATATATATTTATTGTTTGTTTGTTTTAATGCTGTGGCTGCATGCTTGGTTCTGCAGAGAATAACTTGTTCCAAGGATGCCAGTCACTGTGACCACCAGTCACATCAATACTGGCCTGCAACACCCATATTTCTGTTTGGATTGAATTAGCTCCCTTTTTTATTTTAATGCCAATGATTGAATAGGACTTTTGCCACAAGTCGAATAGGTGCTCTCAGTGTTTTGTCAAAGTCAGATTTTAGACTGTTTGACAAGTAATATTATTTCTTTTCCTTATAGAATGCCACTGAGGTCAGTATCACTAGTACAGAATACATATGTGTATTCTAATTCTAATTAATTCAAGAAGTTACACACAGTATAACTTCTTCATAAAACTGAAGAAATTCCTGCATAGGTCATTGCTTTTGTGGACAACAAGTTTTTTGCCAGTTTTTTGATGTTTTCTTATTTATGCTGATACAAATATTGATTTGTACTACTGACCTTGGATGCCAGACAGTTTATATTTCTTATCAGGGATCTAATTCAAAGCCTGGTGGAAAGACACTGAGTGTTTTTAGGAAACCTTGAATAATCCTCTAAACTTACATAGCATAAGAAAAAAAAGCTTTTTAATAGTGCAAATCAAAGCTGAAAAATCTCTTTTTTCTCATTCTCTGAAAATAGTAATCATTTTTTGTAAACATTAACTCACTCTTTCCATACAACATTTCTCAAACTGTTATGAGACTTCAACTGCTATAAGAGGTAGCAGCAGGAGAAACTTCAAAAATATTGGTATGCTTAGAAAGATCTTATATATATATATATATATAAAACTTATGACATTTCCCATCTTTGATATCATTCTGCTATGCTTCATTTCTTTCATCTGAGAAGCAAAAGCACTTAGAATATTTTCAGGAATATGCATAATTGTAATAAACACAACAATATTGTAACAATTGTTCTTTAAAGCAATAATACTATTGTTATTATATAAATTTCCAAAAAAAATATGCTGTTTATAATAGATATATATGCAAGAGAGAAGGTAAGGGAGAGAGAGAGAGAGAGAGAGAGAAAGACTGAGAGAGAGTTATTGGTATCTTTCTACAACAAATACAACAAAACTATAACCAAAAGAAAGTATTACATATCTGCAAGGAATTTTTTTGTTCATTTTTGCAATAATTGGTTAGTGCACAACTATTTACAGTGCAAGATGTGAATCAGAAATGGTTGGAAATGAACAGCTTCTAGCACTAGTAGAAAGTTCTTTGATTTTTCACACCTTTAACTTCTTTGTTGTTTCTGTTTTTGGCTTGTTTGGTAAAGGGGGTTTGAATACTATTAACTATTTGAACTCTTCATGAAGAAAAAAGCAGTCATACCTTGTGAGATACCAAGATACCCTTCAATGGTCTTGCAGCTTTCCTTTGAAATTTCCATTAGAATAATATTGCATTTAACATGCAAGCTTAATCAAACCCTGTTGACTTCACCAAATATTCACATAGATTTTATTTGCAAAGGAGTGCCTTTTAGCCACTCAACAATTTAAAAGATATGATTTCGTTCTGAAGACTCATTTAAGCAGAATAATTGTAATCAACAACACTTACCTGATTATGTGGAATAGAGGTTATACTGTTATTTTCCAGTTCAAAACCATGCAATAGCCACTTTAAAAAAATGCAATGTTTGGAATTTATGGAAACTAGGTTTAAGCTAACAATGCTCTAGCAAGAGGCTTCTAGAAAGAGTTAGTGCAATTTGCTGCTTTATTTGTGGTTAAAAGAAACATGCTGTAAGTAATGATTTATAGACAGGTACTGTGTATAGGCTATGAGGGTTAGGTCAGTTGATATGTAACAGTTTAGCTGTTATAAAATAAAATCAAAATGTAAGTACTGCATTCTATCCTAAAAGAATGACAAGCCTCTTTTCATAAAGAGAAATCAGTTGCATGGCTGTCATACTCTCACCAGCGTACTAAAAGTACTGAAAGAAATCAGTACCACACAGAAAAATGGATTAAGCATGAATCAATGTGGCAAGCACATAACCAAACAGACATGGAATTAAGGAAAAAACAAAACAAAAAAAAAAAACAAAAACAAAGCAACAACAATAACAGAAAAAAAAAAAAAAAAAAAAAAAAAGAAAAAAAAAAACAACCAACAACCCACAACAAAGATTGTCGCTTAACCTGGTTTGTCAGAGCTGGTATTGATGGTATTGGTAGTGATGGAAGTGAAGGTAGTCTTTGCGCTGTCCTTGGTAGTAACAGATTTCTGCTTATTTTTCATGGCTTCCAGTGCTTTGAGCTTCTTGGCATGTTTAGTGCCTTTGTAGTGGGCCGCAGCCTGGCTCTACAAAGGAGAACAAAATGAACCATGCAATCAGGCTCATTTCTAAACTGGCATTCTCTGTATTAGTACAAATACAGACTACCTTTCAATAATGGGTACCATTCACATTATCCAAATGGAAAATTATATTTAGAATGATGCTTGGAAAACAATGGAAAAATTACCCAAACAACCCCTATTGGATGAATACAGTATATTTCTGTATAACGATATATTACTTCCAGACCAAAAATAAAGATGTTTTAGTCTCAAATGCTTGAAACACGTATCTTCATTGGTTTTTCTATCAAGAAAAATTTCGCTTTTGCATTAAAAAAATTATTTCTCAGGCAATGGGGAAGAAAGCACTTTTCACTTTCCCAATTCCTATGAAAAATTAGACATTTAGCTAAAGTTTCTTTCTGTCTTTCAAAGAAGAGTTTACACTTAGCAGTGCTATCAGGAGTTTCTCAAATGGAAAGTAAAGACTGACAGTTCAGAGCAAACAAAAAAATTTCAAAAATCTCAAAGCAAAAGCTACCATGCTCCAAAAAAAAAAAGCAAAATATAAATCACATAAGCTATCCTTTTCAAAGCCCATCACCAAAGAGCTAACTGAATCTAAGGCAGATGTGCAATTATCTGTCTTTAATAAATAAATAAATAAGCAATTTTAGTCCACCTGCCACAAATGGTAGCATTTGAAATTCAAAGCCAGGAGCATCCAAAGGAGAAACCTTATCCAAGTCTTGTCAGAGTGCCAAATATGTTTTGGCTACCTGACATCATTAAGCTAAAACAGATTTGAATGTGCATTGCTATTGAGATTTATGTGCAATACTGAAACAATATTAATTATTCCATAATTTAATACAAAAATAATTTAATTCATGTTGTATGTATATTTTAAGAGTAGTATTTGAAGAATAAGATTAATTTTTAGCAAAAAAAACCCAAACACTGGAACTAATAAGAATATTCAGAGCTTTTTATTTTCTCTTATATTTAAATTTTTATAAGAAAGATAGTCTTATTGTTACTAAAATAATAATTAGATAAATTCCTTATAATTTTACTGCTGAAATTCTAATTTAATTGAAAGCAATTCGTTTCTTACTTGAAGAAGTTTATTGAGAATCTCAGATAATCTTCAAAATTTAACTACCACAGAATCAAACAAATGAAAAGCAACTAGGCTGGGTTAGCCCAAGGAGACATAAAGGTCAGTATTTTGTTTCTGAGATAAAAAAAATAACAGATGCTTAGCATGAATATATAAAATAAATGCACTTTATTGTGTAATCACAAGAGGAAAAAAACACATCACTTAGTACCTGCTAACTCAGGGATCAAAGGGATAAAATGACACAGTTGCTTCACTCACTAAACCACTTTTACTAGGTAGAGAACTGCATTTTCTGGCATCTGTTAATCATCAGACCTTTATTTAATGCTGCCTGTGCTGAATTTTGGGAATAGAGCAATTTCTAGTAAATGTAACAAGTATGTATTAATTATCTCAAGATTTACGGTTTTCAACATTCCTGAAAAGTCCTGATTCTTTCCAGAAGCCTGAGTTTTGGGAAGTTCAAGGTGGGGAGATGAGAAGTGAGAGAATTAATTTAAAACATCAACCACATATACATGTATGTGTATATACACATAAATATATGCTCTCGTTGTATATTAAGATGCATCATTCCACTTGGTTGAAATGCCAGTTTCTCTGTATCTAAAATAATGCAAATATTGTAGTAGGTACCCTTATTGAAAGAACACTGGACAGTGAAGTCATTAATTAGAAACAACTTGAACAGAAACAGCACAATCATGCACCTTTTACAATTCAGAACACATAACATCAAGACATACTGTAAGCCAAATACAAACAATCAAGAGATGTTAATTGCTGTTAAACTGAAAAACCAGTGTCGGCTTATGATGATGCATTAAAAATGACATTAAAAAGTACAGCCTTATGATGAGATTGTATCAACTGTATTTATTGTTTCTAGTGTCAAATTTAATTATCAGACAGCTTCAGTTACTGAGTGTGCTTGTTTTCCCAAACTGACAGTGTCATTTTTCAAATAACAGAAAGGTAGTTAGAATATGATCCTAAATACTGGAATCTGAACACTGACTTTCATTTGAGACACAGCTCAATTTTCTTCACAGAATTACTGGAAAAACACCCCAGATTTTTGTGTCCTGTATCCACAGAATTTACTCCAAATTCTCACAGCTACATCTCTACAAACCCCTACTCAAAGTGCTGGATGCATATGGAATAAAAAATAAAGTTTTATGTAGAAATTCATAAACATTCATGTGTTCTGAAACATACGAACATAATTGTTCCAAAGTAGAAACACATTCCTGCTATATATAGTTGTCCATTACTCACTTCCCAGAGAGTGTTGCCAGTTTGTGCAGCTTCTACTTAGATAAGATGTCTTTTATATTTCAAAGTTAAAATCCCCCTTCTCTGAGGGAATATGAAGCCATCTGAACTTGATAACAGCAGTTGTTAGGTTAACAGTAGTTCTGTGCAAGAAAATAATAATCCCTAAGCATTTAACCCACTCAAAATTAATGTAAACTCAACTTCTACAAATTAACTGGAATCCTAAATAACAGTCTGTCATATTTCCTTGCAAGAGTGGGATAGGGAAAACATAATGAGTGGTGACTATAGCCTTTCACAAAGGTGAGCAGGGGTCTCATTCTGAAACACTTCAGTACTTTAAGAAACTATATCTACTCTTGAAAAGATGTCTAAGAAGAAAGTAAAATGTATGTTACTAATTTGAATTTGAATTTGAGGACCCACTGATGCTTAACTACATTCTGAGAGCTCCAATCCTGCAAATCACGTGTGGATAAAATTTGTACTACATGAATTACTTCAAACCAAGGAAATGGCAAGATGTCTAAATGGCAATTCACTTCAAAGGTTATATGTAAAGAAGTCATATACCTATTTCAGTGATACAGTTCAGTTTAAGCATCTCTTTTGCAAAGCAGAGATTTCTTCTGCTTCTATTCACATACAATGATTTATTAGCAACCTTTCTAATCTATATATTTTCCAGACTTCACAAATGTCAAGAATATAAAACTGTATTGACCTACATAAAAAATATATTTATTATGAATTCACAGACACACACATACCACAAAAGAATAACCATTGTATTTGCAGTTTGTATAGTTGCATCAGACAGCAGTAAGAAATAACAGCCAGTGTCAAAACTCAGCTGCATTTTATTCTTTTTTGCCTAAGTGAAATTGTACTACAATTGCTATAAGGACATCATATTACTAAGCAAATTGTAATGAGTAAAGTACAATGAGAAATATATGAGATGTTTTAAAAAATCCAGAGTACTCTCTTACAATAACAGACATCACATCTATACAAAAGTCCTCAAAATAAGTTTGTCAGTCTGACTAATTTACTCCAGTGAATCATACAATTCTTACTTATATTTCTTAGGCACTGGATCAAGAAAAACATCCCATTTAATTTTGAGTGTTGAGGTACAAAAGGATTTTCAGAGAATTTTCAAATTAGCAGCACTGCATCTTCTATATTTTTAATATCCATCTAGTTCTACCTCATATCATCTTACAGATTGGTTTCCTGCCTCTTTCATTCCTTCAAGGCAGTACCTTTCTAATAAAAGCAAGCTCAAATAAATGAAATTTTTTTAAAGTGTAACTGGTACACTCCACTGACTCTTCGTTGCTTAAATTTAACCCAAGTATCTTACACTGTCATCTCAAAATACATTGTGAAAGCTGTCCATCATGGAGAACATTATATTCCATATTTTTAGGTGGCCAATTACTACTATTAGAAAGCTCTAGACGGGGTGGAAAGTCTTTTTTGTTTGAGATTTTAGTTGCTCACATCATGTCTCTGTTTTTACCAGCCACTGGGTGCTACAATCACTTCTGCTGTCACTCCCAATACAACAGAATCAATTCTGACTAACATATTGATGTCAGAATCTCCCAGAGTAAAGCACAAAATATAGCTGCCAAACTGTTCACTGTTCAAACCAGTGTTGATACTGAGCTACCCACACAGGGAAAGCAGTGAGCCAGATGCATATGGCAAGAAGAGGGTTTCTGCTCTTTGGTGTAACAAGGGAAATTGTTTATGAGATGCCTGTGCAACACGTTATCTTAATCATCATGTACGTGTAATCTTCTTGAAGTTGGTCTGTCAATAAATACTTCAAATATAATATGATAGATGCTCTAATCACAGAAGAAATTGATCTAAAACAAAAAGACCTTTAATTTTTGAGCAGGCATCATACTGATATAAGTATTTTTCTAACAGATCCAAAGTCGCCAGGTTGACTGCCTGTCTGGCTAGTCAGTGATCAAAAAATCACAGAATTGTAGGAGTTGAAAGGGACCTCTGGAGATCATCAAGTCCAACCCCCTGCTACAGCAGGTTCCCCATAGCAGATAGCACAGGAAGGAGACCAAACAGATCTTGGATATCTCCAGAGAAAAAGACTCCACAAACAATTTGAGCAGCTTGCTCCTCTCACTCTGACAGTAAAGAAGCTCTTCCTTGTGTTAACATGGAATTTCCTGCATTCCAGTTTCTGCCCATTGTCTCTATCATTTTTGCACACCACCAGAGTCCGCCACCATCAACTTGACTTCCATATTTTAGGTATTTAAAAACACTGTTGAGATCCCCCTCAGCCTTCTCTTCTCCAGATTGAAGAGTCCCAGGTGTCTCGCTTTTCCTCGTACCTAAGATGCTCCAGGCCCTTACTCAACTTTGTCACCCTCCACAGGATTATCTCTAGAAGTTCCCTGTCTTTTTTGATCTGAGGAGCCCAGAATTGGACATAGTATTCGAGATACGGTCTCACAAGAGTAGAAGGGGAGGATCACTTTCCTTGACTTGCTGGCCACACTCTTTTTAATGCACCCCAGGATACCACTGTCCTTCATGGTCACAAGGGCACACTGATGGCTCATGGTCAACC